TGATTAATTTTTTCCGTATACATTTCTTATACATTAGTTTTTTTAAAAAATGTTCAAAAATGAATTGCTTATTAAATATACGGAATTTGTATACGGAATCTATAGAAACGTACAAAAAATGTGTACAAAACGTATCCTTTCCGTATACATATTTCTTATAGGGATGTGATCTCAAATTTCATATCCTTTTTTAAATTCTGACGGCTGAAATTTCATCATTATTTACTTCTTAAACTTATGTTATAAACAAAGCACAGTCACTTTCTTATATAAGGAAACAACGACCGAAGATATCTAAAAAATTTTTTTTTTTTAAACAAAAACGAAATTAGTTAAGATATCCAACGCAGTAATACATAATTATTATTTTAGTATGATTTTCTTTGATGACTTGATGTATAGCATGATGATAATCGTCTATTTTAGATTTGCAGATTAATAAAATTAATACGAAGAAAAAGAAAAGATGAAAAAAGTAAATCTTTTGGTTGTTGTTTTTTTCTTATAAAAGAAGTAACTGATTTAACCCGAATTCAAATAATAATAATAATAATAATAAACATTAATCTTAATAAAAATCTAATTACAAGAAAATTTAAGTAATCATGAGTCGAATTTTTATTTTTGCATTCGTTTTATTTGCTACGCTTTTTGTGGTCGATGCAGTACCACTTGAAAAAAGGAAAACTTCATTTCCACTATGTCCCGGTTTTCCACCAGATACAGTGGGACTCGATGTAAAAATGACACCTGATCCTTTCGTTCCTGGACAAGAAGTAAAGTTGTTATTTGCGTCTACATTACCAAGAATACAAAATTATTTTTAAAATGAAAAGTTGACCTGATTTCTTTATTCTCATCTACTTCGGTAATATAAAGTATAAATTTATTGAAAAATTTTAAAAAAGTGAACTATACCATTAACATCATGAAAGGGTCATACTAATAACACTTTTTAATACAGTAATTTACTATTTTATTTAGTATTAAATTGTTTAAATCAATAATTCAATATTACATTTAATTTTAAATTGCTTTACTTATAAATTAAAAATCTATATAGAATGTACCTGAAATACTTGTTGACACTGACGTTTTAGAGTTGATGAGCATAAGATTAGGGTAAGCTCCCGCTCTTGTCAACCATGGACTCTTGTATGTGATATGTGAGAATTCTATATTACACTCTGGGGAGCTTATTGTAGAAAAGCTCGAACAGTTTCCAGCGTATCCATCAAAAAAAGCTCAGACACGTGGTTCATTTGTTATTAGTATGGCACTTCTATGTTAATGGTATAGTTCACTTTTCTCCAAGATGAGATGTTAGGCTGTCAAATTTTTATTTCTATAGATTTTCATATTTTCTGCAAGTTTTGACTCCATAATAATAAGTAAATTCAAATAATTCTTTAAACCATTGTAATAGGAATCTTTTAAAATAGAATTCCATTATAAAGAAAATAAGCTAACTTTTTAGTAGATCAGTTGCCATAACTGCGCCGTATTAACAAAATCACATGCTCAAAATTAGTATCTTAAAAGTTTTTTGTTGATATATAATATTATTATCACAAATATTTATGTGCAAAATTATTAATTGGAAAATTTTAAAGCTGCAATAGGCCACACTTACAATCCATAACTCTCACTCCTCAACATAAAATATTACTTATTATTATGAGAAACCTTCAAATAGAGGTTAAAACTTAGTATAAGATAATAATTTTCTGATATCGGTTTACGCCTGATTTTTTGTGATTTTAGCGATTGTCAACATGTAGAGACATATTTTATATAATAATCAAAATTCCGAAATAGTTTTAATTTTGAGAATTATTCATTAATTGTGAAATTAAATATTTTATATCATTTTATATTTTGAAAATGATATTTTGAAATTTTAAATCCTACAAAGTGGCGCAAGTGGCGCATGGAAGTCTCGATCATTTATTATTGCTAACGACAACCTGTTGAAAAAAAAATTCATAAATAGTAAAATTTTTTTATTTTGTTAAATTTATTAAATTGATGCTTCGTAAAATTAGTTTGGAAAAAAATCTGAAAGTTGACTTATCATTACAGTAGTATTACAGTTATAAATAAAATTTATCTTAACCTTATTTCTTATTTTAGCTCTCGATATACGCTTTTATTTATTTGTTACCCTTTACAGTTTTCAATTGAGTTTATCTCATTAAATTCTACTTATATTTTTTTTTTAAAAAAAAAAAAACTTGGGATTTTGACCGTCAAGAATTTTAACTGTCAGGATTTGTGATTATCGGAATTTTGGTGTCGGAATTGTAGACTGTCGATATTATGGTTGTCGGGAATTTGTGGTAAAACCTTCATCATAACAATATCCTAACATTAATAACATCATCATCCCACCTGGAAATCCTCTTCCAGTTGATTGTTTAAACAATTTAAAAGCTTTATTATAATCTTTTTCAACACCTTCTCCATCATTATGACAAAGGCCAAGTTCATACATTGCATCTACATTTCCATTATTTGCTAATTTTCATTTTTTATAATTCCATATCCATGATAATAACTGTCTTCTCTTTAAAAAATAACCTATATAATGCTAAATTTAAAAAAAAATCTATCAACAAAGAATAATAATTTAAAATATATTATGTTATTTTGTTTGAATTAGTTATGAAACTCTTAAATTAAATTTTAAAGTATTCGAACAATTAATTAAATGCTTTAATGTAAATTAAGAAATCAATGAAATTTACAATTAGTAACATATTATTATTCGACCATAATTCAGTAAACGCTACATTTTATCTGTTTGGAATAAAAATAAGTGTAATTAATGTAATGTTAATAAATTTGTTTATTGAGTTTTTTATTTTTGCTTTAGATTTGCGGTTTACTTTTTTATTATAATATCATTTATAACCTCGAATTTTCCCTATAAAAATTTTTTAAAATTTTTCCAAAAGATAAGTAGGGTCACCGCTCATCAGTCTTCGGTCCACCGGACCGATTATATGAAATTTTTCATCAAATAAAATGATGATAAACTACATATTATTAATCAAAGTTTTCATATATCAAGATTTTCAGGTTGAAATAAAATTATTTTGTGTTACATGATCGACCAATTACTTTTTCAATATAAATCATACAATTTTTAAAATTTTATCAAAAATGGAGCTTTCATATGAGTCATATTTAGATAACAATGAAAACAATAATAAATTAAGCTCCTTTATTTCATTGTTTTGCTGATCAATCATCAACCCAAATAAAATAAAGGACTTGGGCTGAAAGACCGGTCTTATGTAATCCAACCCTAATTCAGAGACATAATATATTATAAAATAAAAGATACATAAGAATATTTATATAAAATATATGTTTTTAAGGCAATGTATTCATTATCTTGAATTTTTTAAAAAATTAGTGTTGCTAACCTCTAATTTCCTTGTTATTGTACATAATAACAAGGGGGTATCAGATGACTAAAAGATAAAATTAAATTTTTGCCGAAGATTCTTCTTCTTGACGGTCATCAGGCGTTTGAGACGGACTTGAGGGATCCATTGAAAAACAAAAAGTTTTTACCGAGAGGGTTATTCGCTCATAATTATAAATTGTAATACAGAACTATAAATCGTCACGTGATAGACCGTTAATGATGAAACAGAACAACAATTTGAAAGAATAAATTGGATAAATAGCAAGCTGATTCCCTTTTCCATGGATTTAATGATAGAGATGATGGCAATGATTGGAAATTGTAAAATAATACTGCAATATTTAAGAGAATTATATTCTTGCATGGTAATGAAAAGTCACTTTTCCCATAAAATTATGATTATGTGGATAATCTTAAAATTTCGTATGGGAATATTTTTATAGGTTTATTATCATACATTTTTTTTTGATTATTGATTTAAAGATATAATTAAATGAATAAAAATTTGTTTAACAATTGGTGTTGGTTTTATTACATCTCTGGTCACTAGGAATCTTAATTGACTAATTGATTACACATAACAGGCTGGCTGAACGTAACATTTTTTTTTAATAAACAATAATGTATTTATATTATTAATATTATTAACAACGAATATTAATATATAATTTTGAAGTGTTTTAGCAAATGAAGTATGATTTTTAATATATTTTTCCTAATGACGCATACTTATATAATATTCATATATAATTTGTACTAAGTAAGTTTTTTATTTAATAATGTACTAGGGCGTAAGTTATTTAATTTTTATTAAAAATAATTAAAACTTTACTGCGAGTTTATTACGTAATGATCTATGAAAAATATATTTACTTCAATTAATTTGATTTAATACGTTGTCATCGATTTTTTTTGGTGATCCCGATTTTGACATATGATGACTCATTACAATTAAATCCATGATCAAGATGGGAATATTGTCTGATTATAACATTGATAACATTGATTTATTGATTTAGACTTGCAACTGATTGTTTTCGCGTTTTTCGCGTTTTCACAAATAATTCATGAGTCATATTTCATATAAAAGTTTGTATAACAAAAAATATATATATAAGTTATTTCTTTTTTCTAGGTCTTTAGGAACTCTACTTCTCTTTTTTCTTTTTTTTTCTTTCAAGTTTTACCTCTCTTTTTTAGGTCTACTTTTTTTTTCGACTTTCTATTTTTCTAGGTTTTTTTTCGGGTTTCTCTTTTTTTTTAGGGCTCTGCTTTTTTTAGATTATTTTTTCGGGTTACGTTCTTTTTCTTTCAAGCTTTTCAGAACCAATATTTTTCTTGGGAGCGGTAAAGTTTATGCACCCGACCAACTTATTTTATTTTCTCCCTTTTTTAGGTCTTCTCTTTTTTAGAACTTCTCTTTTTTTATGGGTCTCTTTCTTTCGGTTTTCTCTTTTTTTTTAGGACTTTGCTTTTTCTTACTTTTTCTTTTGGTCTTACTTTTTTTTCTTTCAAGTTTTATCCTCTCTTTTTTAGGTCTACTTTTTTTTCGATTTTCTCTTTTTCTTTTTCTTCGGGTTTCTCTTTTTTAGAACTCTACTTTTTTTAGATCATTTTTTTTCGGGTTTCGTTTTTTTTCTTTAAAGCTTTTCAGAACCAATAATTTTCTTGGGAGCAGTAAAGTTTATGCGAGGGTGAGGCACCCGACCAACTTATTTTATTTAGTTTTTTTCTTTCAAGTTTTACCTCTCTATTTTAGGTCTACTTTTTTTTTCGACTTTCTCTTTTTCTAGGTTTTTTTTTCGGGTTTCTCTTTTTTAGGGATAAGCTTTTTTTAGATCAATTTTTTTTTCGTGTATCATTTTTTTTTCTTTAAAGCTTTCAGAACCAATATTTTTCTTGAGAGCGGTAAAGTTTATGCGCGGTTGAGGCATCCAACCAACTTATTTTTTTAATTTAGCCTTTTCTCTTTTTTTAGGTCTTCTCTTTTTTAGAACTTCTCTTTTTTATAAGTCTCTTTTTTTCGGGTTTCTCTTTTTTTTTAGGTCTTTGCTTTTTTTCTCCAGGTCTTTTAAGTCTTCTCTTTTTTTCAGTCTCGAACTTCTCTGGAGTTTTTTCGGTCTTCTTTTTTTTTAGGATTCTGCTTTTTTTTCTAGGTCTAGGTATAATGAAATCATTTATAATGATAATTTATTTTCAGAAAAATACATATTATTCAAGTTTTGTCTTCTCCTTTTTTGTCTTCACTTTTCGATCTTCTCTTTACATTTTTCTTAGAAGTAGTATAGGCACGGGCAAGACATCCTTTGTGGTAGGCTAATTTATTTAAGTCTTTTCTCTTTTTTAGATCTCTCTTTTTTGATCTTCTTTCTTTTTTTAGGTCTTTTCTTTCTTTCGGTCTTCTTTTTTTTAGGTCTCCATTTTTTTCTAGGTTGTTTTTTTTTTCAGTCTTTCTTAGAAACAGTATAAGTACTATGCGTAGGTGAGTAGGCCAAAGGTAAGTTTATCGGGTACTTATGTTGGAGCAGCATGATGCTATGCGTGGGTGGGAGCATAGCATGCTTACTTTGTAAGCCTGTGAGTACCAGCTTTTGCTGCAGTCTCGCAGTAGGGCTGGCTGGGAATTTTTTGGAGCGGTATAGTACTATGCGAGGGTTGGAGCATAGGCGCTTACTTTAGTAAGCTCGTAGGTACCAGTTTTTGCTGCAGTCCTACGATAGGACCGGTTGGTTGTGGTACGGCATGGTGCTATGCGTAATTTACAGGGAGGAGCATAGTGCGCTTCTTCGGAAGTCCCTTGTGGTAGGGCCGTAATACTTAATCATTAAAGATTTTCAAATGCAATAAAATTAAAAAATTGTGAAATTAATTATAATATTTTCCCTTTCACTTTTTAGCAACATTCTTTTTGTAATTAAGCTACTTTAATTTGGATAAACTAAAATGTATATTGAACATATACAAATTTCCTTGTCCAATACAATTTTAGTTTGACTTTTATTTATTAACATTATTTTTACTAAAATTACCATATATGTTTGATTCATTGATATTTTACTTAATTTTTTAATGAAATAAATTTTTTTTTTTTAATGATTTATATTTAATGAAATAAATTAGCTAAATAAGTAATTTTATTTACATAAAAGAATACATATACAAATATAGGTTGATAATAAAATAAAAAAAAAAGTGGTATACAAAATTACTAATTACAGACTACATTTGTATGTACACTAATTTCAACATTTTTTCTAATCATTTTAATATTAATAAAGTAATGACGTAATTTTTTATATCTCACTACGTGTTATTTCTGTTCAAAGAGGTCATTCTTTCTCTTTTCAGATTATTTTCTTTCCAACGTTTTGATTTTTCGTTTATAATTATTATTGTTAATTCTTTCCCTTTTTCCTAGTATCTTTTTGATGATTTTTCATCTCAAATTGTAGAGAAACAAGATTATTAGATATATTTTTGAGTATAAGTTTAATAAATTACTTTTAAAGTTTTTAAAGGACAAGCTCATTAACTTGACGATTAATTATAAAAATGATCATTTGACAGGCGATTGCGTACTAATCATGTGACTTTCATGGAAATTGAAATCCGAGGAAAAAAAATTAAGAAATATTATTATTTATGACCTCGGCCCTCGGGTCTTTTCCGTGGCGTAGCCGGCAGCTTCAAGGTCGGGAGTCATCATCTGCCCGGCTTCTCCGGCTCGTGATTTAGTTTGTAGTTTTAGAATTATTTTCGTTGCAATTTACATGTAATATTGTTGTTTTGATAATTTGTACTACAGCTTCGTACGTTCTGAAACATAAAAATAAAAATAAGAAATATTATTATTTATTTTTTTACAAATTATCCTCAAGAAAAAAAGAAAAAAAAATGATATGAATCGAAAAAGGGAATTAAATAATTAAATAATAGGAAACGGGATTTAACATTTACTTTGCATTTATTGGCAACGATCATTTTATTAGGAAACAAGTTGTCTTAGTTTCTGACAGGGCATTCTAAATTGTACAATGGAAAAAAAATTTTTTCACATATATATATGATTAACCTTTTTAGGATGCTGATCCTCTATATTTAGTACTGATTTACTAATTATTTACTAATTATGTAATATATTTTCTATTGTCTTACATTCGGACTTTTCCTTTTTATATTTAAATCGATCAACAATGGTGAAAAAATTCCGTAAAAAAATCTAACCAAATTTGTTTGTTCTATTTTTCCATTTATATTAATAAAATGAAAATCCGGAATTCAATTATATGTTTTTTCGCCCTTAAAAATTTTTTTTTCTTCTAAATTACAATCGAAGAGAAAAACATGGAAAATATCAAAACTAGAGATAATATTATTTATGTGAATTTAAAATATCTAACAAAAAATCATGAAGTTACATTAAATTCAAATTTTATAAAAATATTTGATGTTAATGTAGAAGAATTTATGAAACCTTTTATACCATTATTTAAAGAAGCTGCTATATCAATTACGATAATATTTCATATATATCAATTATCACAATATAATAAAAGAATTTGTAATTCATTATTAGATAGAGCAAAATTAGCAGAATTTGTTATAGATCAATTAATTCGTAGAAGAAAAGAGAATATAAAAAATTTTAAAAATTTTACATGGTATAAATCTTTTGAAAGGTTAATTGAAATTTTAACTAAAATTAAAACTTTTGCCGAAAAAATTTCACAATTACATGAAATTAAAAAGTTTTCAAAAGTTAAAAATATTAAAGAAAGATTTGAAATTCTTATTAATGAATATGATAACGTAATGATGGACTTAAACTTTACTATGGCTATAACTAATGAACAACAACGAAAGATTGATCATGAAAATTTGAAAGATGATTTATCTGAAATTAAAGAGGTATTTTTTTTTTTAATAATGATACATTTCGGTATTTATGCTTATAAAAAAAATTCTTTTTTTGCATTTTTTTTTTCTTTTAGTTTCTCGAAAAATTTGATAGTATAGAAAATAAACTTAAAACAAGTATTATTTACGAAGAGGTTCTAAATATTAGACCAAATAATAAAAATGTCGAAGTGAAAAATTTAGATGATATTAAATTAACCAAACCGAGAATAATAAAAGATGATGATATACGCGGTCGATTTATAAGAAAAATGTACTTGAATACCAACGAAGTAGCTTGTATTAAAGCTTACAATTATGAGTCCTTACCATATTATCATAATTTAGCCACTTATATGAAAGCTACTCAATCTCCAAATATTATTCAATTTTATGGATTTGCAGAGTTAGAAGATTTCCCAGTTATGGTTTCAGAATGGGCTGAATTTGGAAATTTAAGAAATATATACCTTAGAGATGGAATAACTTCTTTGAAATTAAAGGTTTACTAATACTTATTATTTTCTCGATATATTTTTCGATTTTTGGTCGTAAAATTAACACCTGTATTCATTTTTATATTTTCGTAGTTAGCTTATACGCTAGATGTTTGTCGTGCTATCGCATATTTAAACGCACTAGGTAGGAAGGAATTTTTGTAACCTTTACATTTTGATCGTTACATTTCATTAAAAAAAGATCTTTATTTGTTTAATAATTATAACGTGTTTCAGGCATTTATCACAAAGAATTACAGTGTAGTAATGTATTGGTATGGATAATATTTATCATTCACTTCTATTACTAAATCTTTCTAAACAACGCGATTAGTTAATTTATATATATTTTTTAATACAAAGGTAACGGCAGAAAACATAGCAAAACTAAAATTTTCAAGCCCGATTAGATCTTTAAGTTCTACATTTGAAGATGTTCGTTGGCGTGCCCCTGAAATGATTCTAAATATGAAGTTGTATGATCAAAAATGTGAAATTTATAGGTAATTTATTTTACTTAAATTATGTGAGAATTGTTATTGTTATCTAATTAATTAAAAAATATTGTTATTATTAGTATTGGAATGTTATTATGGGAATTAATTTTTGAAAGACGTCCTTATGAAGATATAAATTTTTCAATGATGATAGATTATGTAACGAATGGTGGTAGAGAAAAGTTACAATTTGATAATAATTCATCTATAATGGTTAATATTCAAAAAAGTATAAAAAAAATCATTAAAAAAGGTAGATATTTATTTGAAATTTATTTTTTATTGCTTTTCATTTATGATTTTTATATTTTTTTTTATCATAAACTAAAATAAAAATACTCTTTTAAAAGCCTGGAGCCATGATCCTGATGCTCGTATGAGTATTTCAAAATTATTTATTGATCTAGATACTTTGATTAAATCCCTTGATGAAGATAATAACAAAGTTGATAATAAAATGTCTTTGAAATTGAAAAATCCAAGTAATTATAAGAGTGAAGTGTATAAATATGATTCAAAATCAATTCAGAATGTAATAGAACCGATATTGTCAATAGATATTGGTATAAAAGCTCATAGAGCAAAAAATTATGAAAAAGCGTGGAAATGTTTTAAAATGCAAGTAGAAAATCAAAATGCTTTTGGAAAATATTGGATGGGTTACTACTTATGGGAAGGAATTTTCGTTCAAAAAGATAGAAAGGCTGCTTTAACATTATATAAAGAAGCTGCTGATGATTTTATTGTGGATGCTCAATATCGTTATTCATGTGCTTTAAATAAATTAAGTACAGAACTTAGAATTAACCCTAAAGAAATTATTAAATCTTTACAATTGGCCGCTGATTATGGTAGTGAAAAAGCACAACTTTTGATAGGTGATGCTTATTTAAAAGCAAAATTGGGTTATAAAAAAAATTTAGAAATGGCAATACTTTGGTATAGAAGAGCAGCATTACAAAATAACAAAGATGCCAAAGAAAAATTAGAAAAACTAGGAATAGAATTTTTAACACGTGATTGAATGAATATTAGTGAAATAATTTCAGCAACTTTTTATGAAGAAATTTTGTTAAAAAAACATTTTATCAAGAAAGATGTTTATTTTATAAAATGTGAAATCACTCAATAGAAAATAAAAATAAAATTATGTTAAATTAAAATATGTTCATAAGGATTTGTTCGCCAATATAAATACCTTTTTATTGTGCGCGTTATGTACTGATCATGTGATTATAAATTTCAACTATAAATCCGCAGCAAACGAAAGTTTTTTATTTTTTTTGTGCTTGGAAGCATCGCATAACTAAACAACGCTTATATATACCTCATATACCTCGGAAGAATTCCTATTCAGCCCGACTGATCATAGCCAACCTAGGGACGAAGTAGCTTAATACTTTTAATAAAACCATATACGCTTTAACCACTCAACCAAACGTACTTAATTAAAAAATTTAAAAATTTTATTTGCCTTTTTATTTTTATTTTATTTTTCTAAACTTGACTATGACTTTATCCAAAAAAAATTGATGTCTCCGTAATCAAATTCCACCGGATAGGCGCGGTTGAAGCGCCTACGTACAATTTCCCGAAGGACGTTTAGAATTTTTGACCAGAGTTATGCAGAGTTATGCACGAACATGTGGTCATCGACCGAAGTTAAGAAAATGTAACTCCAGGAAGAATGTAGAATGTTTCATTGTTTTTCGTTTTTATGTATGTGTGGTAATACGCAAATAACAGGACGTTCAGTCGTTCAGTCGTTCAGTGCAATTATGAGGTAGTCAATGAAGAGATTTTTTTTTTTCTTAAATTTTTTTTAAGAAAAAAAAAAAAAAAAATGATATTCGACTTTTTGCTCCTATATTCGTTTTAATAATAGTTCAAACTTTAAAAAATTCTGATGTAAACTTTGTACAATTATGGCGACATTTAAGATAAAAATCATTGTTTTAATGATACATAGTAGCCTGTAATTGTTCTGATTATAAAATTTAATTAATTTGAAATTCGTCGAATATTATCAAGTCTTTTTTCAAATTTTATCTTCTTCCCAAAATGTAGTACACAATAGCCTTGTTCAAATTCCGGTTGGTTGCATTTTTCGGTCATATGCAAAATAAACCATTCTATTAGTGGAACGTGTTCGACCGAAAATTTTATGGTCATTAATTAATATGTTACACAAAAATAATAATGCAATCGACGCGACGACGCCATCTATAATAACTTTAAAAAAAGTAATAACCTAATTATATACTACTATTACAGCATTGATTATTGTAATCAATAACTTTATCATTATTCTTTTAAAAGCCTTTATTTTTGAACTTTAATTTGTTTTTCTACGGTATATTCATAATTCATTCAGACAATTCCAAATCAGGATCCTGGCTAAATTCTTCTTCTATTTTTAGTTTTATTGCAATCTGTTTATCATTTAGCTCAGATTTACATATAATTGTATCCCAGTCTCTAATCTGCCTATAAAATTTTTGAGCCGGCAGGTATTATTGCAATAGGTACCAATGCCTGGCAAAAAAGGCTTGAACACTGGCATCGAATGCTTATTTTACTGTGAGAATTTTTTTTTCAAAAATATCCAAATATAGATTAGATTGTTTTCGCTTCTACGAATTTTGAACTGATATTACATCCCTCCAATATTTTGCATTATAGCTTTTTTGTTTATTAGGACATTTTTAATAATCGCAATAAAATAAATAATAATGAAAAAAAAAATTTATTGTCTCACCATACTTAGAATATCAAGAACCTTCTTTTTTTTTAAAAAAGTGCTGTGTTTTTCACTTTTTAGTAGGATCACTGAAGCATTGCGTGTACATGATGCTAAGACGGCTGATCAGCTATTGACATCACTACTTGTGGTACTTTAAAAATATTTTTAGCGAAATTCAAGAACGGAATTTAGATTAGTTTGGATTTGAAATGAGAAAAAAAAGAAAAGGATTTTTTTTATAAAAATGATAGCGCAATAAAATAGCGGTTCTTGATAAAATTAGACTGTCTTTATTAATTTGATTATTTTTAACTATTTAAAATATAAATCATTGTGTAAAATATTATTATAAATAAAAATTTAAGCGTAAATTTATAATCACTACTATCTTACATTTTTTTTTTTTTTTTGATGTTTCAAGGCAATCGAACTTAGTTCATAAATTTCCGCAAATGAACTTTCAATTTAGATATTTTTTTTAATTTAAGCCAATTCTCTCACAAAATGATTCAACTCGAATCTCGTATTACAAAAATCTTAAACAATGAAATTTGTACTGCGTACAAGAGACCACCAAAAAAAATTATGATTGATGTCTTATCTATATTTTGGAAAATATTTTACTTATACGAGTATTTGCGTATTATACGAACGTGGGTTATTATTTTCATCAATTGTAATATTAAAAGTTCCAACTAACACATTATATCAATTATTTATATTAAATAGCATCAGATAATATTCAGATATTATAACGCTTGGAGTGACGTAGAAGATAAAGCAATTATATTTGAAGATAAAGTATAAAAAAAAAAAATGAATTATTGCTAAAGTATCCAATATCTTGAAGATCATCAACGACTTATCAGACTATTATACCGAGTTATTACAGCAAGTCTGATCGCCAATCACATGATATAATTAGTGCGGCGGATGTTTTATTTTGAAGCAGATGGACCCCCAGCAATACTGAAATAGGTAACAAGACATAAACGCGTAGAATATGTAGGCTAAAAATAACCATGAAAATCTTTCCTTTCTGAGATAATTTGCAATAATGTTGGTCAGAATTTTATTACTTATTATTTTAGTAGGTGACTGACATTATCATAATTCCGGCCCTGAAAAAATGCGTAGAGCTAAAAGTTCCTATGACCTATTTGTAGGTCCTGGAAGACCACCTTACAAAGTGAGTTGAAATTTCGTAAGTTCTTTAGCATTAGGCGCGCTTGTAATAGGTTCTTTCGATAAGTCCCTGAAAAGAGTTACGATAATAAGATCGAGAATTGATAAGAAAATTAAGATGAATGAAGTGGCGCAAACTCAATGCTTTTTTAAGCGTAAAAACAAATGAATCCTTATTTTAAGTTTGATAATTTTGGAAAACTTGATAACATTATTTTCCAATATGGCACTATGTGTTTAGATAATTATTTATTTTAAAAATTATCAACCATTTTTAAATGTAAAAATAATATATTATTAAATTAAAATAAACATCTAAGGGACATCAACGAACAATTTCCACAAATTCAAATCGGCGTCTCAGACCAGTTATATTTCTAACTATTTCCGTTCCTTTTCTTTCTCCTCACTCTTGTTATTTCCAGAGAAGTAATCAAATAAACTTACCTTTAATTTTTTATTTCCACTTTTCAGTATTTACCTCTTCCATTTTTTAAAAAAGTTCTTATTTTTGTTTTGTTATGTTAATACGTCCTCCTGTTCCTCTTTCAAATTATTTGAATTGCTTTTTTTTTACAGCTGATCAAATGGAATTAGTGACTATATATCGAGAAATTAGAGATTAAAATAACGTTAAATAGAGTTTTCAATTGTAATGTCATTATGTTATATTTTATTATTATTATAAAGGTCCTTTCAACTAAATTATCCTACTGTACCATTATTTTATTGATTAAATAGAACCGTTACATTTGCATGGTTCCCGAAGTGATAACTATTATTAGAAGAGATGAAATTACTATGCGCACAAGGAAACACTTTTGATTCACCAGTTGTCTTGTAATTTTGATTTGAATACTCTGTCATTGTGGTAAGTATCATTTTATGTTCCTACAAGAGAAGGGAATTCATGTGTACATAGCTCTTTTTACTAGGCGAAATTATATTTCGCTAATGACCAGCTGTAGCCTGAGAGAAACTGAGGTTCTATAGATTGTTTTAGTTATGAACAATGTAGCAAGTGTTCAATAGTTATTTTTATATTTTTTTTACTGTAAATTTCATTCATTTATTGGATTAGATTTATTTATTACTATAGTTTTCATTTATTCATTGAATTTAGTTTCTAGTGAAAATATTTCATTCATTTATTAGATTTAGATTTATTATATTTAATTATAGTTTCTAGTGCAAATATTTCATTTATTTATTAATGACACAACTATAGCATGTGATGATGTGATTGTATATTTGTATGAGGTACCTCTATGTCACCTTGCTCTCTTGAGTGATAGTACTTTCTCATAGGGTTTATATGATTTTCCACCACACTAATCCTTTTGTGTTTTTAATTTTTCTTTACTAACTTGTGATCGCCCAGGCACACTATTCAAATACACTAATAACTGTATTTTTTTAGTATAACTGTCTAATAAATTGTATAATTACGGCCAAATAAACGACATTCTCATCTTAATCACCATTCATAACTGATCCAAGCTCTGAAAAATGGCCAATAATCAAGCGATCGACGAACCACCATTAACGAAATTAATTGATTTTTTTTTACTTTTTTAAGTTTGTCCTTAAATTTTGTTGTTTTCGTTTTATTTTATCAACAAAACCACAACTTATGAGTAAGGTAACTCATATCTCAACTCAGATCCCCAGTTCTGAAAAAATAATGTGACATTTTTTCTTTTTTCTTTTTTCGTTCCCAGTGTGCCGTGTAAAAATATATCAATTTTCTTTATTTTTCTATAAATCAGTGAACGGTTATTTTCGGGCAGCCTTACTATAGTATTATATTCTGCTTCATATATCTATTATAGTTTACATGAATTATTGTATGAGTTTCGCCTAGATATAAAAATAAAAGTAAAATAAAAAATACATAAAATTTTGATTAAAGAAAAAAAAACAGAAATACTTTATGCACTAATCACTCTACTCGTTTTAATAATAATAATTCCACTTTATTTGGCAATTTTCCTTTTAATCATCTTTATCATCTTTGGAAATTTATATATTTTATAATAAAATATGTTTTCTATGTAATAATATTTTTTACATCATCTTTATCGTAGTTGCTGATCATAAACTAGTTGTAATCAAAGAAAACTTTTTTCTTCGCAAGTAGAGTACTGTATATCCAAAATCTTAATATTTAATAACTTTCAATAACCACCGCCGTAACATGACTACCACGAGGACTATCACTTTTTTATATCCACTTAATATTTCATGAGATAAATGACGATGTGATATAATTGAATTATTATTTAATTAAGTTCAAGATATATTCTATAAGGTTATTATTGAGAAGTAAAGAAATAATTTTATGTGAGTATTAATTTCTAGTATTATCGTACGATTACATATGACCATAATATGATTTAATTTTAGATATTTCATTGATTAAAGCTTATAGCATCGGATAAAACTATATACTGTATATTATTTATTATTGTTGTTAGTAGGAGGAGTTATTCATTTTGTGTTATTAAAAGTAATATTATAATATCAGAAACCCATTTATTGATTCATATTAATCCTTGTAAAAAATTTTAATAGTCTTTATCTGTATTAAAATAAAATTTGTTTAAAATAATCTTATTTAGACTATTGATAAACTTTCTGTTATGGTCAGGTCGTACGATAATATAATATTATTATATTTGTACAATCATTACAATGTCAACAAATTGATTTCTCTGTTATTCTGATTTACATATAATCTGTACATATGTACGTTTAATTGTTGTAAATCATCACGTGTCGGGTCAATCGGGTCATTATATCTAACTTTTTAAATATCAGTTAATATTACATAAGAATAAATAAACTTAATAAACTTTTTCTTTAATGACTTTGACTTATTAAAGTAATTTTAATAAAGAAATGCGTGTTATCAATAAAAAAACTTTCACTTATAAAGTTAATATCAATATAAGAAGCTCAAATGAAGTGTCATATACATGCTGTGTAACATTAACTAGGGTTTTTTCGTATTCCCATGATGGTTTCATTGTTCTCGTTTTTTATTATGTAGATAACGGGACGGTCGGGACGTTCATTGCAACTATAAGGTAGTCAATTTTTTTTTTTAAATAAAAAAAGAATATGATAATCATCTTGCATCAATTTTTTTTTTTTTTTCGTCCGTTATCATAATATAATTCAAAATAATGATATAAACTTTTGTTTAACCATTATCGTAATGATACATTTGATTACAAAAATTTAATTAATTCAAATTTCGTCAATATTCTTTTTAAAAGTATTTTTTTTTTTTTTGAATTTTTAAATCTTCCAAAAGTGTATTACATTAAAGGCCATTAACCGCAGTAATTGCTTTCTAGGTTCAAAATTTATGAAATCATGATACATTCCAATTCACAATCTTTAGAAAATAGACGTTATAGAGACATTTTTAGTGTTATTGCTGCAACAATACAATTAAGAGTTACATAAACTTTAATTACTAATTTTTCTTATCATTATTCTTTCGAAAGTTCCAAAAATTCTTAGATTCAAATCATGATACATTAAAAATTCTATTCAGAAATTCCTTAATAAATAGGCAATGATTAAGCATTGTACACTATAGCGACATTTTTAGCTGTTAGTGACTTTGCAATTTGCTTAAAAAATCAGGCTATTAATAAATTCGACTAGCTAATATTCTTTTTATCATTATTCTTTATGAAGTCTTTTTTGTCAAAATGCAGTACACAGCATGGTACTGTACATCTATTATCACTATGATCCATTCAAATAATTCCTAATCAGGAATTTTAAAAAAAAATATTATTATGGTTAGTGGTTAGATAATTAACTCAATGATAACGTCAGGTGACGTGTGACAAAATTTCAATATAAATAATTAATTGTATAATTAACTTATCGTATTGTTTATAACAATACAAACAAAACAAACAATAAATATTTTGTTTATCTGTTTATCTTATCCTAAATACTATATTTTACATACCGATACACTTCAATGGATCAACAAATAAAAGAAGAGAATAAAATTCAAAATTATTGTCTAAACGAAATATCATCAATTCAGAAAGTATTAGCAACATTAAAATCGAAGAAATTGAACCCAATAAAAGAATTACTATCTAACCTACAATCATTAATTCAACCATTTAAGTTGAGTAATATAGAACAAAGTAAACAAGCTGTATTAAATGATGATGTCAGATGGAATATTAGTTTATATGAGGGTCAACCTTTTGTGTATACTTCCGTAAACGACCGAAATGATCGTAGCTCTCATGTAAATTTATCGAATTCTGATGATAACGACGTTGAAGTTGAACTTGACGAGTCCCTACGACCATCAGACATACTATGTATTAATTTTCCTGTCGTTGAAATTACTTTTACTGCTGATTTATCAGAATCTTTTTCAAACTTTATGAATGACGATGAAGGAAAAATACATGAAATGCATGGCCATCTATTTCCAATAAGGATTTTAATTGGTGATAAATTATTTATCAATGGGCTTGAATCGGTCAATTCAAAACAAATCGATATTTTTTACTCTTATTTAACTTGGGCGTATGATTCGGCTAAAAATAAGAAAGAAATTCTATTTAATAACTTGCCCGCCGCTCAGAATTTTTTTCCAAAAATAACAACAACAGACGGAAAAAATTTAGATACTCATGAAAAATTAACCGATTGGATGAATAATTTATTCCAAGATGATACGGATAAAATAATTTCTAATAATAATCTCGTTCAATTAAAATTCGATACAACATCATTTGCAGATAAGAAACAATCTGGAGTTGCTAATTTTAAAGAGGAATTAACTTTAGAAAATTGGGTTGAATATTCAAAATACGTAAGATGGGTTAAAGAATTTCAACTTTTTCAAGGGTTAATAATTGATCAAAATTTTGAATTAAAAATTTGCAAGGAAAAAGCTATTGATTTAATTAATTTTCCTGATATAAAATCAAGTAATAAATTTTATTTAGAAATGGTGAAACCGACAACCATTTTAGAAGAAATTTTGATTGATAATAATATCATTTCAGCTAATAGTAATGAAGATATAAGCTCTTTTCCGTTTATTAAAGTTTCAGATGATCTAAGTTATCAGGATTACGTACACTTTTTGGTAAAATGTGAACGATATAAAATTTCATTAAATAGAGATAATATTAAACCTACAGAAAAACTTAAGAAAGATATAGATAAAGCACTTAAAAGTATGACACCACTTATATGTTTGCAAGAAGTTTTCGACGAATATGGATGGTTTATTTCATTAAATATCTTATTAGGAAAATCTCTTAAGAATATCATAGGAAATTTATCTAATATATCGAAAAAGATTGATTTTGCATTACCAGCATTTGAATCTTTAGCACCGCATTTAACATATTATGGTATTAATTGTCTTTTAACGCAAAAAGGAGAAATTATCGAAGAAATTGATTTACCTGAATGGATTCAAAATACAGAGGATGACTTAGAAGTCATTGAACTCAATAATATAATTCCTTTATATAATATTCTTGAAGTAGAACAAACGAAGAGAATAGATACTGTTTTGAATGAGCAAGATAAATTTAAGATTATAATGACTGGAATTGTTGATTTAAAGAGTTCAGATATTACTAAACAGAAAATTATAAATATAGAACCATCGTTAGACAATAAAAATTACGAAGTTTTTGGATCAATCGTTTCAATAAATAATTCAAAATTGGATGATATTTTTATTACATTTGGATCATATGAAATTAATGAATTTTCCGCGACAATAGAAACTTCAAATAATACAAATATAAGTATAGAAGAATGTTATATCGTATGGATGATCATCGGAAATCCTTCAGAATTATCAGTATTTTATCCAAACAATCGAGAAATACAGGTCGATTGTTTTAAGAGGACGATTACATTACAACGCAACAATCCTTCCTATTCAATTAAAACTTCTCATCAATTATCTCAAGGATATGATATCTCTATTAAATGTTTTGAGGCTATGAATATTGAGTTTACTGGATGGTCAAAGGACTGTGTTTATTTTGATATTTCAAATTCAAGTATAGTTAATTCAACTCAATCTAATGTTGAATTAGCTATTTGCACGCTATTACATTCAGATTGTGAAAATTCAAAGATTGATATTGATGGAATTGGATATTCTATGGGATATATTTTAAATAAAAATAATTATAGGGGTATGTTATTATTATTTTTTTTTTTTATATAATTACAAATAATATGAACAAATTACAAATTTTAAATTAATCGAAAATTTTATTACAGAACCACAATTAGAGCAAACAAATACACAAAAATACCTAGACATACTATATCCAATAAAAGGAGACAGAACAAACCTAAATGAATTAAAAATGACTAATGAAAATTTAGAAGGCCATTTAGATTTATCCGATTTTATTAATTTAAAAAAATTAGACTGTTCTAATAATAAATTAACTAGTCTAGATATTAGTAAAAATGAGAAGTTAACTGAAATTAATTGTTCCCGAAACAATTTAATTAGTTTAGATCTAAGTAATTGTTTAAATATTAGATCTGTTACAGCTAATTATAATCAACTTAATGATTTGAAACTATCCGCTGCAAATAATGAAACATTAGAGTATATAAATTTACTTGATAATTCATTTTCTCAGAATTTAAATTGTTTTGGACGTTTAGTTAATTTAAATGTACTACTCATAGGAAACACTGATGAAATTAGAATCGAACAAGGCATATATAACCGTTTTTATGGTAGTTTGAAAGCTTTGAAAAATCTAATTAAATTAGAGAATTTAAGTATTAATGATACTGATATAGATTCGGGTCTAGAATACTTACCTGATAGTATTAAAATTTTTCAGTGTTCAGCTGATAAAAGACCAGAAGCCAAGGTTATAAGAATATTTGAACAACTTAAGACATACACTATGAGTTCTAATGATGCTTTTAAAGGTAGATATAATTTGAAAGCATGGAAAAAAAACTGGAAATTAATTAAAGAAAACGAAACTCTCCAAAATCAAATCAAACAGATTGAAAAATTAACTTTAGATGCTAAACTTATAGAACTTGAAAATGAAAACAATAAATTGTATGTAAAAGAAGAGGTATTAAAGAAAAAAAATAAACAGTTAGAGGAAAAATTAACGAATTTGGGACAAGAAACCAATAATTTGAATCAAATGGTCAAAGAATTGAATGCCAAATTGAAGCAGCAAGAGGATGTTTATAGACAAACTGAGCAAAAAATAAAAGAAAAAGAGGAGAAACTAGATTCCCTTATTGCCGAGAAATTAGTGGAAAAAGAAAAATTGGAAGACGAAATAAAAGTATTAAAAGATGATTTAAAGATCAAAGAGGAAGATATAAAAGAATCAGAAAAACAATTAGAAGAAAAAAGTAAGGAATTAAAAATCAAAGAAGATAAAACTACCAACTTAGAAAATGAGTTAAACAAGATTAAATTATCTTTATCTAAAATTGAAGCTAAAAAAAATGAACTGGGCGGTCTCAAAAAAAAATTAAAACATGAGGGATTCTTTTCTAAAACAAGTACATCTGAATTGAGAAAGAAAATGGATGACTTGGAGAAGGACATAAAATTGTCACAAAGTAAAAAAGAAAAACTCGAAGCTATAGCTAAAACAATGGAGGATGAATATGAAAAGATCAGAAAAATCAAGGAAGCCCTTCAAGATGAACAAATTGAGCATAGAAACAATCTCAAAAAACTTCAGAAGGATAAAGAAAATTTACAACGTGATCTTGAAAAACAGAAAAACAATTTAAAAGAAAATGAGGAAATTATTAGTAATCTCCGACAAAAAAACGAAAAGAAAATTATCGATACCAATAACAAAATGAAAGAAAAGGAGGAACTTATTGACGAGCTCAAACAACAAAATGAGAAGAAAATTACTGCCCTTAACAATGAAATAAAAAATAAAGAAGAAAACTTAAGAGAAAAAGAGAAATTTATTAACGAGCTCAAACAACAAAATGAGAAGAAAATTACTGCACTTAATAATGAAATAAAAAATAAAGAGGAATTTATTGATAAGTTAAATGGAGAAAAAAAGGAAATAAGTGGTTTGCTTTCTCAAATTCAAACTCAACAAACCGAAATAAGTGAATTAGTTAATAAAATTGATAAAAAACATGATCTTGGTAAAAGAGGGAAGCTTTTAATAGATAATATTTTGAAAAAACAAGAAAATGTTATTCTAACTAACGATGGCCATGCTTCCGAAGAACTTGAAAAAATTAGACGAAAATTGATTGAAAAACACGAATTAACTGAAGAAGAAATTAGAGATATTCTGTATAAGCAAGAGGAAAAAATTAAATTAGAAACGCAACTCAAGTCCTTAATAAATTAAGAATAAGAACCACGTTAATGTTATGCAGTCTTTATTGGTCATTTATGTAGTACTTTTGTTATAAAAGTTTTTACTCGTTAGTAATTCAATTTCCAAAATTAAACGAGTAATATTCAGAAATCGAATTCATAGGAAAAGCGTTTCGTACAAATTGGAGAAATTCACATCCAGCATTGAAATCTTTTGGTCTATTTTTAACCCTCACTTGCACTTCTATTTCTCGTATATTTACAAAAATACTGGTTATTTTTGAAATCTACATGTCAAATCAGTTAAACAGATAATATTTAATATTTCTGACTCTATTAATTATCTTTGAATGATTTAAAAATTGGTTAAAGTCTGGTCTTAATTTATTTTGAAGTTCTTTTTGGTTGGATAGCTAGTTTACTTTTCGAAATTTGAAGAATTTCAAACCTTATCTCCAAGTGCATATAAATATTTTGTTTTCTTTATTTAGTTAGTTCCTTAATAGTTGAATTCAGTTTTTTAGGTAACAATCTTGGATCATTGAAAAAGCTTAAATGACCCAACTCCTCAGCGTAACCAACAAAAAAAGCTCGGGTACGTGATATAAAGTGTGGCGTCTAAATTTTGATTGGTTGATCTCGTGTAACATTTTGAAAAAAAAAATCGCGAAAAAATTCCGACTTTTAATATTTAAGTAAAAAAATCAATAAAAATAAAATTTTTAAGTATTAAATAGTTTTATTATATTTTTATTGAATAATACCGTAAACAATACAGAAAAATTTTTACTTTATATATTTATAAAATAAAAATTTTTTTTTTCTTTATTTTTAAAATTCTCTGCTGTATAACTGATAAAGTAACATATACCTAACTAAAAAAGGTGCTATTTATACAAAAAGCCAAAATATATAAAATTAATATATATAAATACTTTAATACTTGCTAAAACAAACTTTAAAAATTTCAAAGAAACGTAAAATATTAATATTTATCGTGTGATAAAAATAATAAAAAGAAAGAAAATTATCATTTATCGCTGGTGCGATTTGTCGCTAGTCCCCATTTGTCATGTGATCTGTAATATTTATTGTGTAATGATGTATTGATGTAATTATGTAAATCGAGTGTAATGATGTAAAATACTATAATCACGTGCTGTAATCATTATTAAGCTTTTTGATTATCAAATCGATCAGTATTTCTCACGGTTGTTCTCTCTCTATACGCAAACACTCTTTTTTTTCGCTGATATTGAATGTAAACCTTCCTTTTCTTTTGTCACGGTTGTTCTCTCTCTCAGTTTAACTATACACAAACACTCTTTTTTATACACAAACACACTTTTTTTTCACTGATATTGAATGTAAACCTTCCTTTTCTTTCGTTATATTGAATGTAAAAACTACCCTATGGAAGAAGTGGTCGAAACTGCTAAAAATTCAGACTTTACACATGGTATGTTTGGCTTCATGGTAGCTTAGGGTTAGGGTAAGGATAGTTGGTTAGGTTAGGTATTTTGGCTTTAAAATGGTGTTGGCTTTGGAGTAACTTAGGGTTAGGGTAAGGATAGTTGGTTAGGTTTAGAAACTTTGGCTTCAAAATGATGTTGATTTGGAGTAGCTTAGGGTTAGGGTAAGGATAGTTGGTTTAGGTTTCTAATCCTTTTATCCTTTTTTATTCTTTTTTTTGTAGATGACAGTAATGACGTAATGATTTTATCTAATGAAAATGACCATGTATTACTATGTTCAGGAAAAAGATTTAGGTCGTGGGAGGAGTGCGAAGGTTTTATAAGTGATGGGCCAACCAACAAGGATTTCGTGTTATCAAAGATCGTGTACTTCGCGATGGAGAAGTCATCTGGCGCCGTTCATATATCTGTTCTCATGGACGCACCTACGAATCCAATTCAACTAAGGACACTTGCAAAATCCAAAAAAGAGATGTGGCAAAGAATGACCCTTAGGTACCAAAAGATTTAAGTCATCCACTGAAATTCCCAAACCTAAAACACGAAATCAACGACATTGCAGGAAATGTGGGAAAGTTGGCCATTATCAAAAGAATTACAAGGTAATAATCAGGTGTCAATTTTTACTTACATCTTTGTTTCTTTATATTGACCTTATTATTATATTTAGGAATAAGAAGTATAACTATAACATTTGGTGGAACAATCTGTTGGGGTAATTACTTAGAGTGTATAATAAGACATTAATAGAAAAATGTATAAAATGTATAGAAAAATGTATTAATACCATAATGCTAAGAACTAATTAATTAATTCGTACAATTTATTGCTATATTTTTAACCAATAAAATCACATGATACATTTGCTAAACACGTGACAGTTGAGGACTCGCCATAGCGATAAAAAAAAAAATCCTATATTTAATATATTCATTGTTATAATTCAATATGATCTATCAAAACAACAATTTTAATATGTTATGTAATATAATGAACATTATTGTAACATTAATAATAATATTCATATGAACTTTGTTTTTTTTCCTCACTGGAACCGGGTAACAAACAATTATTATTAATTTGTGTAATATACTACTTCTAAAATGGCTATTATTACGTTATATTTTTAACTTTTGCATGCTAAAATTGACTATTACGTATACATGTTTTTATTTATTGAATCCTACATTTTTTTCATTGTTTATTGATGTATTGATAAAAATCGTTCACGTAAAGTATTTTTTATCCTTTATTAAAAAAAAAAAAATTTTAATTTTTGAAAAATTTCATGTTTGTTACTGTGTAGCATATATTAATTCAAGGGCGATAATTTCATGGTAGCCCGGATCGACATCCCTGGATCTTTGGTTTGTTTACTGTAACAATAGAAACTAATTTTCTGTATCATTTAATCATTTTTTTATCAATAGAATGCTCGTCTGATAATATGGAGTAATATATCTTTTAAGATACACTACCTAAACTTGCGGCAGAGTTGATAAGGATAGATGGCTTCTACTCGGCTCTAAGTTGCATAGATAAATTTGAGATGACGACACACAAGAATGGATTCGAGCAGGGCCAATGAATGTTGCTTTGAAACGTCTTGATAGTTTACTAAACGGTTCGACTTCTACATTAATCATGTAAATCATGGTTGTGGAAATTAAATTTGCATTCTATCTATAAAAATAATAATAAATTGTTAGTTATTAAGTTGAATATCTCGATAATATAAGTAAAAATTTATTTTATAATTATGTGTCAATATGTCTTGGGACGTACCTTTTACACAATTTGGAAAGCATCTTCCATCATCTTTTCTCTTCAGCAACAGAGGATTTGGATATTTGGATCATCACAAATTAAAATAATCCATTTTCCTGATTTTTTCGGATTATCATCGCCTTGAATCTATATAAATCTTTTGCCAAATTAATATCATGTACTGTACTCTATCTATTATTCCAGGATCTTTATCTTTCGGTGCAATATATGGTTGGTCTCATGTCTGCATTAATAATCAGGTCTATATCAAAAACTAGATTAATCATGGTGATTCACATCCCATATATTGAAAACTAACCAAACTCCATTTTTTAGTATACCAATATGCTTCCATCATAGTCACATGGTCCATATCACCGATACGAGCATCTTTAGATACAATAAGTAACTTTCTTCCAATAGATTTTCAAGACCTTCAGTGATTCGCTCCCCATAACATATCTCCAGGAAAGAATTACATTATGATGGTCAAGATATTGACAAAGATTCATTACGATCGAAGTAGTACCAAATATTCCAGATAAAAGCTACAGTAGCAAAATGACAATCTTAGCGTAGTGTTCCGTAGTAAAGTCACGCGTTAAAACTTGGTTCTATAAATTTGGTCAAAATTACTGAAAATAGTAATTTACATGATTTAATGTAAAATTCGTAAAATTCGAAATGTTTTAAATGTTTTGTAAATTATCGAGACGCTTTAAAGCGACATTCATTGGCCAGCTCGAGTCCATACTTTTGCACCATCCTTTCAAATTATAGCAATCACAGGCGCAAACACCGTCCAAAAAGAGTGTTACCACATCTTTCAATTTTCTCGGGTAAATTTTCCTTGTTGGCATGATAAATCTTTTCCATTTTACTAAAATTTTCAGTACTGAAAATCTACTATAATTACATCATATACTGTATGTAACTAATATTATATAATTTAATAATTATGAGGATAATCTGAATGGAAAGTGCTTCGGAATGTACAGTACTTCCGGATGAAAATTTTTTAGACAATTGAGAAATTTCCTCCATCTCTTTTCCTCTGCAATAGAATTCTTGTCTGAAATTTTTGAAGGATTTGGATCATCACAGATTAAAATTATCCATTCTTCTAAATTTTCATTTAAATAGGATGCGGTTGGACGTTTTCCTGGATCATTATCCTTAACGTTGTTACATTAATTCTGAATTAAAATTAGGCGTAAAATCAGAAATTTCGAATCTTTCATCATCACGTTTATTCTTTACTAAATTAATATCATGAGCTCTATTATACCTGTATCCAAATGAATATATGTCAAAGGCAGCACTTTAATTTTTGCTACGTAAAAATTCCAGTGCAACATATGGTAGGACCCATATATTTGACTTCTACTTTTATCATAATTACATGGTTCATATAGTCCTACATCACTAATACGAGCAGATACTTTTTCATCTTCGATAAGTAAATTTCCTCCGTGAAGATTCCCATGGATTTTTCTTCAGAATGAATTCTTTCAAGACCTTCAGCGATTCCCCCATAACATATCAATCATATCTCTCCAGGAAATAATTCCGTTGCAATGATGGTCAAGATATTGATAAAGTCATTACGATCATATAACTTGATGTTAGATCTTTTGTAATACCAAACGTTCCAGCTAATGAAGCAGATTATAGACATGACATGATTTGTGATATGCCAAGTTAACTTTGAATAAAGTACTCGATTATCAAAATTTATAGTGTCAGCCAGAATTACTATCAACGTTTCATAGTTCGGTCCGGCATTATAAATTTTGAGATTATCACATGCCTAAAATTAGCGTTAACTTTACTAAGGCTTGTTGTTAATAGATTAGAGTACTATTTATTTACTTTAAAGTAATTGTACAATAAAATCCTCTTTAAGATTGAAAAAATATATTAAGTTGAAATGTTTTGTGAATTATCAAGAAGCTTTAAAGCATCATTCATTGGTCCAGCTCGAGTCCTTTCTTGTGCACCATCATCCCAAATCCATCTAGGTCCTTCCATCCAAAGAGCTGAGTAAACACTACTAAATCTACCCTTACCGATATATTTAACCATTTCAAATTTCTCAAAAGGGATCCATTCCAAGTAATCACAAACTTGAGTAGCGTTTAATTTGAGTATGTTGAATTAACTTATCAATCTCTTCATTTCCAGACGTCCAATAAGGAAAATTTTCTTTCATGGAATTAGCTTCACATTCCTTGCACCATCCAAAAGAAATACTAGGTTTACTACACTCTATTCAGTTTTCTAATTCTTTCGGATTAAAAGCATTTCATTGTTGACAAGATGCCTCTTCCATTTCGAAAGATTCTGAAATTGCATAGCGTAAAAATATCCATATATATATATTTCTTGCTTCAAGTGTCAACTGACATCTGACGCAAATTGACACCCTTTCTTATCTTCCTTACCTTCTAAACTTTTAATGATTTGATCTGATTTTATTGACTTTACAGATATATTTGTTGAATAAGATTGAACTATTCTATTTAAGGAAATAGCAATGTGATTTCGACCAACAAATTCGACTAACAAATTTTGTAGTGGATTATGATTTTTAAGCTTTGCTGCCTTGCATGAATGTATCAATAAAAGGTATAATAAAGGTTGAAAATTCAAAGTGATATTTTTTGCTGTGAATCCATTGTAGCTAAATTTGATCATTTACGACGGTAGTACTTTGTCTATCGTCGATTTGGATTAATTAAAGAGGTCGGGATAGATTTGGCCGGAATTACGGCATTAAGACAATTAGACGTCATAAAGTCACGTTACCAATTGACCATTCTTAAATTATGATAGTAGATTATTTTTAGCCGTGAATATGATGTGCGATAATCATCATCTTCCTTTCTTTACTATTGTACTATGCCGTATAGTATAAGCTCCCGCCTAGACACTTTCTTTGTTACCTATATTTATCGAAAACATCAATTTATTTTTGTATGATATATAATTTATTTTTCAATTTTATAATATAAATAAGGTTTACTGAAAATAGAATTAATTGCCCTCCCTACAGAAAATTTTTTAGAAAATTGATCACATGCCTGAGTTCTTTTTGGAATAAAAACTATCATTCATCGGAGTTTTTTTTTTCAGAAAATTTTAATAGGGCTTAATTTGTCATAGGAATCACAGGAGAATGAAAGGACGAAAGTAAGTCCTTTACTTTTTTTATAGCGATTGAACATTCACCCTTTTGTACTAGTTGCATGTAAAGTGTTATCATATAAGTTTACCACATGACTAAACTTATTCCGAACAGGTTTGTGGATGAACTGAAAGTTTCATCCCTATAAAAAAATTGGGATACGTTTTTTATAAAGTTTTTATACGATTTTTTTCCTTAGAAATAACGTATCATAATAGGATACGGAAAAATGCACAATTCCGTATCACTAAAAATATGGTTTGGATACGGAATTTGCACGGAATTCATATGGAATTTACATGATTTGATCACTGATTTTATCACGAAATTTATACGATTTGGTCACTGAATTTACTATTTGTATTACA